TCCTCTAAATAGTCTCCTTCTGCTTTCATGTAATATGGCCATATGGATTTGTGTGTGCATGTATATTCTGCATATGACAAAATTCTGCAATTTTTGTTTCCCCCATTCTCCTGTTCTGTCCTCCGTCTTCATTTTGTATACCTTCCTCTTCTTCAAAGCCCCCTTTCACTTTCACACGACTAGATAGATGATTGATTGATTGATTGATGATAGAGAGATAGATGGATAGATAGATAGATTCTTACTTTTCTTATTTAAAAATAGAATGCTACCATCACCTTTCAAGAGGACTATGGGATTATGTTAGAAGAGAAAGTAGTAATAGTAACCAGTAAATCAATAAAACAACAGAGTACTAGAAAAAAATAATTGCTATTTCACTTAATTTACAGACAAAAGGTCAGAGGTCAGGAAAGTAAAGATATCCAGATTGTAAAGCTGATTAACAACAGGGAGTGTTTATGTTTGATTTCTGTTGGCGTGATAAATGCCATGACCAAAGCAACTTGGGGAGGAAAAGGTTTATTTGGCTTACAGATCATAGTTCATCATCAAGGGAGGCAAAGGGAGGAACCCTAGGCAGGAGCCTGGAAGCAGGACCTGAAGCAGAGGCCACAGAGGAATGCTCCTTACTGGCTTGCTCAGCTGTATTTCTTATACAACCCAGGCCAACCTGCCCAGCGATGTCACAATGGACTGAGCCCTCCTACTATATAGAAGAGGTCCATTACTCTAAAAATACCCTAAGTATAGATTTGCTTTTTCTAGAATGAGTGGACTCATATAAAAATCATCTTTTGGGTCTGATTTGTTTCAGATTTAAGTTTTATCTAAATGTTTGAAAGAATCAATTGCTTGTTTTTTTTCCTAGCACAGAACAGTATTCAACTGAGTGGATGTACTATACTTTATCCACACACCTTCATAGGAACCTCTTGGTTGCTTCCAGTTTTAGGCCATTACAAATAATAATGTTATATACATTTACACAGTTTTGTGTGAACATAAAATTCAAAAGTCCTTGGATAAATACCTAGGTATGCAGTACATAGTTCATATATAATAATAAACACCTAGGTGTGTAATACCTAGCTCATATGTAATAATAAATACCTAGGTATGCAGTACATAGCTCATATATAACAATAAATCTGCATTTAATATATAAGAGACTGACAAATTCTCTGAAAGTTGCTCCTCAGTTTTGCATTGCCTCCAGCAATAAATGAGTTTCTGTCCTGGATCCTTACCAGCATGTGCTACTGTCAGTTTTTCTAGAAACTTTAGTATTTGTGTAGTAGAAACTTCTAGTATAAACCCATTCATCTTGGCTGCTTGTTTCTGAGATTTAACCACTGCACAAAATTTTAGTAATATCTTCATGTAGAAAACCAAGCCTTTTAGGTGTATTCATAACATTTTAGATAATGGATCTCACATAATATACGGTCTCTTCCTTTGAACTGAAATCAGTTATCTCTACTTATAAAACCAGATAAGCATACAGACGATATCACCAATGTCCTGCCACCCAGCAATGATTATCAGTTCCTTCTATCTGTGTGTGTAAAGTATGCGTACAGCGTCACATATGAAGACCTCAAGTCAAGAGCAGCAATGACTCATAGATGTTTTAGGAGCAGAAAGAATGGGACGTTTTAAGGAAGAGTGACAGTAAGCAAGGAGGTTACTGTATATAGAAGATGGCTTTGGAAGCAGAGGTCCTCTCATTTAGGGCTTCTTCAAATTTATTGTGTGCCCAAGTCATCAAGAATGCCAGTTAAAATGCCCTGTAGCATTCTGCAGATCAAGACAGGTACCCAATAACCAGCATTTCTAACAATTATCCATGTGCTGCTAATGCTGTTGGTCTAGGGTCATGCTTTGCAAAGCCATGTCAGGCCTGTTACACTGAGATGAAGAGCTGGATTTTTTACTCCAAATAAATGGAAAGGCATTACAAGATCTTGAGGCCAGAATGATGTAATATTTCTGATGTTTTTTTTAATCTCTGTATATTCATTTTTATGTTTTATTTTTTTTAATTTATATTTTTTTACAATTAAAGTTACAATTTTAACAATATACAAAATATTACAGTAATTCAGATTTTTTGGCATAATGATTACAGATTTGATAAATACATTTTATATCTCATAATAGCGATGAAGATTATACAAAAGCTATTAAAACCATTATGAGAATAAATTCAATTGTCACTTAAATATCTAAAGCTATTTGAAGGCTGAAACTCTGAAACTCTTAGAAGAAAACTTTGGGAAAAACCTACAAGATATAGGTGTAGGAAAGGACTTTCTAAACCGGACACC